TTCAAGGCTTCACACCCTGCTTTCTTCTCACCTCCCCAAAGGCTACACTCACCAAAAAACTCAATAGAAGCTGTAACACAGACAGGTATAACTCAGCTGCTTCTGTTATCTGCATCTTTGCTAAAACCCATCTTCATCAGCAGTTAAACGTGAAAACCAGGGATTTGTGATAAGTTATAGGCTGAGGGATAGGCACAGATCTCTCTGCTGGCTGTCACTTGAGGGTACCCCCAGTTCCAGACAAAGAACTGGAGAGGCAGCAGGGGGATCTGGTATATTAGGTTTGATTAGTTACTGTGGGAGAGAAAGTCATCCTTGGTGCTGTGGGTTAGGTTTTGAGAGGATATGCCTATATTTCCATTTGAATTAAATCCTTTTGTTCTAATTGGAAAGATTAGCAGATTACTAATGTGAAGAAAAACCACTTCCATGTTAGTGAAGGTTTGTGTTCTTCTGGCACCAAAGTGTTGGTTGAACCACAACCTCTTGAAAAACCAAGAATGCAGTTGCAGAGACAGACTTTCTGTTTGTCTGGAACATGTATAATCCTTAACTGCATCTAGTCCATCAATATCTGTCTTGAAATACCTGATTTTCAGGAGCTGAATCTTCTTGGCTCATCTATGTAATATGTATTTAAGCAACAGAAACAAAATTTATACAGTAATACAGCATACCTACATTTGTTTTATGCTAAGAAGCATCTATAAAATGCTAGTGGAAGTAATTCTTATTTCTAAGTAAGCTAGAATATTTAACCACTAAGATGTGTATAAAGTGTATTTTGTCATCAGTTAGGGTTTACATTTGGAGCAAAACTGAGTCGAAGTTCATTTAATATTACTGAAAACTTTGACTTGTTGGATTCTGGTCAAAATAAAAGTAGTTTTCCAAAATAACATTGTAATCAAGATTTCAGCCATTTTATGTAGGGATCTCACTAGCCTACTTTCTCTACTTTTACTCTGGTTGGCTTTACCCACTGAAAAAAAAAAAAAGAGGAAATGGGCACTTTCTGGGTTTAGAGCACACATGGAATATGATAGGATCAGACATGTTAGGATTCAGGTTCCGGGAAGGCTTTTCTAGTAACTAAGAGACCCTTTGAAGTCTTTAAAATGAGATTCCAAAGGCAACAGAGCATGGAAAGTCCTAAAGCATCATCCAGTCATAGTCAAAAATCCTCTTGGATAGAGTCAAAACAAACTCTGATTTTTGCTGCCTTTTTTTCTGAACAAAATTAACTAAATCTGGCAAAATTCTGAAATGCAAACTGAAATGAAGGCAGGAGTAAACAGTGATAAGGAGTGATTTATTTTTCTATCAAAGATTAAGAGTTATCAAATTGCCTTGTTATCTCCAGGATTTGTTCAGTCAATCTCACATTTTACAATCATGAATTCAAAAAGCGTGTTTTGTGTGCACAGTTAGATTATTTTCCTTGAACAAGAGTCAGAATTTATTTTTTGTTTAAAAGGCTTTGGCAAGTTTTAGTAAGTTTTTGTAAAAGAGAAAATTTTTTTATGAATAATGACAGATTTTTCTGGGTGACCTAACCTCTTGGCTTCTGTCTAATTCTTGCTTTAGTTTTTCAGTGGATGACTCTCAGTTCTCCCTCTGCCATTTAGTTTTCAGATTGAAAGCAAAGCTGTCAGGTGCAAATTGATTTCCCCTACTTAGTGGAGATCACTGTCCTCTGATTTGATTAGTTCACTCTTGAGTTATCACCTTTATGTCCACCAGAAGGCTCTACTGCTTTCTGAAATGTGCACAGAACCATATTATTTGGGTACCTAACAAGGTCAGCACTGTTGTAAACAGGATTTGGCAATTTGCTTGCACTGAGACAGCACACACGTATTTCTATAACTAAGCAATTCTAATTTTTTTTAGAAATAAAAATCTGATAAATACAGATTATTTACAATTAGTGAGTGAAGATTTGGTTCAGTATTTAGTTCTGTTGTGAAATTTGAATCCACACACATTTAATACAGTGGCTGTTAACTGAAAACCTTAGAAATTTTAACACTTTCACTATTTGTGCTGTTACTTTCATAGTATATGTGTGTGTATATATATTTATTCTGTAATTAGAGAAGTCTGAAATACAAAGACCTTAATTCCTCACCATCTTGGCATTCTTATAGTTATAGTCCCAAGTGATGAGGGAACCTCTATGAATTTTGGCACTTGCCAAAGTTATGATGAAGTTATCCTTCTACAGACATTTCTCAGTGAGAAGATTGTTCTTCACAATATTCATGCTTCACACCTCATGGCCTGAAAACAAGTAGCTCACTTGAGCTACAAAACTGTCAGGACAGTTTCCTTCATTAAGCTAAATTATTATAGGTAAAAATATTATCTTTTTTCTTATTTTATTTTTGTAGCACAAATTAGCAAATTCAAAAGGGAAAGTAGTTTCTTTTATTTATTATGTAAGTGGAAAATTGGGATAAAATGAGAAGAAACCTCTTGGAGCAACACTTTTCATGTCCATTGATTAGTTTGACTACAGCAGTTCTGGCATTCCATCCTAAGAAATCATGGAACAAGAATATTTGAACACACAAAAGTACATCCTTTTCATCTGTATGATTTTAAAATTACACTTTTCAGAGAACCTGGATAAAAATAGACTGTTTAAACTTCTAATGTTATTTTTTTTTCCTTAGGGGAGGTGTACTAGTCCAGGTGGGCGTTATTTTTTCAGGGTTTTTTTTGTTGGTATTGCTTTTTGCCCCCTCATATAATTTTCTTTATGGTTATTGATTTTGGTAGAGAGCCATAGGCACATCTTCAGAAAGGCTGTTTACATCTTCTGTTGAACAAAGGGTATAACAAAAAGTGTTCCCATAATATTGCTGCGGTACTAAGTTCTTTAGTTTCTGAGAAAATCCAGATTATCAGTGCTCACATTTTTCTAGTCCTCTTTGTCTATATTTGCCTATCTACGTGTGCAACAAAAGCATTTGGGTGTTATTCCTTAAGATACAATAGATAAATTAAACTTAAGATGGTGGGAGCATCCTATGTGCTTCTGGCAATTTAAAGACTGTTCATCACAGTGCACATCAGTTAGCAGATAACCATTACAATTTCATGGTTTTTCTCATCATACTCATTACATTTACCAGAAAAAGGATTGGGTTTTTTTTTCCACTATAATGTAAACATAAGGGTTTAGTGACTCAAGTTTGCCTTTCTGTAATTCATAATAGCTAGTTACCATGACTGAATTAACTTGAAGTGTTCAGGAAACTGCAAGAGACTACATCATTGGCACAAGGGGATGTGGTGTTCTCTGATGGGCTCCCTACAGAATGTTTAAAGGTGTCGTTAATGTGCTTAAGCAGAATGGGATCCGTCAGAGAACTGAGAACCTTTGCTTGAATTTGGAATAATGCTAAATTGCTAACAAAGTCTTACTTAAGAATTATGGAGCTAAAAAAGCAACTCTGTATAATAAATTACTTAGCTCTAGATGCTGTCATAATGTGATTGTAAATAATAACAGGAAAAAATTGGATACTGTGAATATTCACTTATCTGCATTCATTCAGAAGACTCAGTTTCAACAGTCAGTAACATTTTTTCCATTTATGGTTTTTTATGGGAACAACATTTCACTTCAAAACTATTCCTATGGATCTCTATTGTAGCAATGCCCTCCTGAAACTCAAAGGGAGTCTTCTTGAATATGGACCAAATAATTTAGTTGGCTGCTGGCCATATGTTGTCTTTCAGAGGAATATGGTTATTCACTATGTAATAGTGTAAGAAGAAAGGAGACATATGGAAACAAATTTTAAAAGAAACAGTGACATTAGTTAATGCAGTTTTAGCCACACAAGTTGCCAAGCACTTAATGTAGTCATGAAGAAAAGAAATAAATGATGAAGCCCACTAGGCAGGCGCGTAGCACACCAAAGTGCTGCTCTGGTAAAAAACAAGCACTCAGTTTCAGCTGAAGGCTGACACACACTAACAGTTCTTGAAGTTTGATTTATGGATTTCTTTTGCTGTTACTATTATAAAAAGCCTACTATTATATACAACAAATTAAATCATTTTTAACAGCATCTTGGAAATATATTTGTCCTTTTATTTGTCTCTAAGCACTAGACCAGCATGTCCTTGGTCTCTTTTTGTTATAATTTTGTTTTGAAGTATGTAGTATAATCCTATGTATTTTCCTGTTGCATCTTAATAAAGTAATGCCTTTTCAAGCAGATGAATAAACAATACATTTGTAATAACACAAAAGACAAAGTGGCAAAAATAGTGACTGTAAAAATTGATGTCTTCAAATATTAATCAAAGATTATATAGGTATTTATGTGGAAAATCTATATTAGTACAACAATTCTTTTTCCAATTCAGAATTTGTATTTGATACAGCTTCATAAAATATTGTATGTCCATTCTCTCTAGATGAGTCATGGTTTTAGAAGAATGGGGGGAGAATATTTTTTAAGCATCATGATCATTGTAATAATGAACTGCAGAAACTATAATAGATTTTGTTCCTGGCTTGGCAAACTATCTAAAAGATTTTGCAAGAGAGTTTACATAATTCTTTCCATTGAACTTTCTAGTATTTCTATGTTTTAATTGTTAACTCAAACACACCAAACTTTTAGGTAGTTTGTGCACTATATAAAAGTGGTTTAATGTTTCAGGAGTATTTTATGAGGAGAGTTGGTTGTTATACATTTTCGTACATATAACCTTAGTTCACTTGTTAAAATAGGCTCTCTGTTTGCTAATAGTTCCCAGCTGTAACTAATACATTAACAGATCTACAATGCAGTATTTAAAATGACGCATTTCAAATTCAATAGCAAATGTCCTGCTGTACGATTAATTGGAAAACTTGCTTTACACAATGGCCAGTACATGATACAAAACTCTTCTGGAATTATGATAAATCAATGGATAGGAAAAAATTATGTGTAAATTTCTAAAAACTTAGAAAAAGCAAAAATATTACTTACTGTAGTTGTTGTTTGCTTCTCTTGTCCCTTTCACTTTGCCTCGTTTATCAATCCTCATATACCACTGAGTTCGACAGAAAAGTCTTCTCACTCTTACATCCCCCCCTTCCATATAATCATAGCTTCTGGTATGTCGCTCAGGGCTGGAACAGTTCACATTTGTAGCCATTTGCTCTGGAGTCATGTCATTGCAAGCTAAAGATATAGTGCCCATTAGAAAGATAATGTAAAAGTATGATCTGTAGAGCAAAATTGGCAGGATCCATGTCAGTATCCATTTGTGCATTATAGTGCAGTGTTCTGGGTGTTCATGAACAACATAATGAAAATTAAATCTCAAGTAGACTGTTGCTCCTAGGTCACCGACCTGCCTTCTGTCTTTATGAGTTACAGATTCATTTAAGTGAGATTGCTCCCTCTTCTAGAATTCTGATCGTTATTCCTTAATAGTTAATGGCGAAATAGAAGAGCTTCTTAAATATCTCTTCAGTCAGAATATCCTTTAAAGACACAAGTTATAAAAACCTTTGTTGTTGTGACCGTCTTTACTACTTGAATTTGCTGCTTGCACTGAAAGTAAAAGATCTGTGAGAAAAGGTGCATGTGTAAGTCGTTATGCTCAATTGTTACAAACGTGCAAGGATACATTATGCTAATGAAAAGTACTACACAGAAATACAGAAATACATGACATGCAGAGCTCATTTTAAAAAATATGCTAATGCATATACGATAGATATATCTCATAAAACTTTTTACATAACCAGATATTTACACTGATTGTAAACACAGTTCTCTCTTCAGTTTTAAGTCCTTCCAAAAATCTCATATTGATTAATTTCAACTCTCATGCATGATAAAATTCTCCTGATTACATCATACATATATATTTACTATTAGCACAATCTATCATATAACTTTTCTCTAGTTTAGATTTCAAAACAGACCTCATGGCTTTAGTCCTGTGTTTTATTCCTACCCTTTTCAGATTATTAGTAGAAATAGTTTTCTTAATTATTTTTTTAGCATCTAGCATGCAGAAATAAAAATAAGTTACTAGCTATTAGAAACTGTTGAATAATCTTGTAAAGGACAAATAACTTACTTGTTCCTGTTGATAAGAGCTGGATACCCATGTACTCCATTTCTGTTGTCTCCTTTTTGCAACATGAGACACTCTACTGTAGCTACAAACTTTCTCAGCTCAGAAAGACTCCACCAGAATTATAATTGTTTCCATAAATCAACAGGCTGGAGAGATGTGTATGTGCTTACGCGTGCGCGTGCATGTGTGTGTTGAGCCTGTTCAGTCCTTTTCGATAAATACCTTTGCTGACCTCACTTGGAAGCAATTAGAATTTAACCAGTCAGCTGTCAGTTGAATGCACGAACAAAAGTAAAAGGAGACTTGCATTGTATCGTGTCCAGTGGTCATCAGAGGGAGCTATGTACATAGTTTATGGTTTAAATCTCCAAGAATATTCTTTCTAAAAATGTATATTTTGTGCTGCTTGGATAGAATTGTTTCACATGCTAGTTAGTGTTTCTGTGCTCTGGTTTAGGTCAGTATTCTCTGTCCTTAAAAAATTCCGCCTCCTCTCTTTTGTACTCACACGCTTATCTCAGTGTGCTTTCAAATCTCTTCTGCAGTCTGGTGGATTCATAGTCTGCTTAAGTGCCTTTCTGAAGGATATATGAGACATGGGTCTGTTACATACGGTGGAGAAGGGTGTGCTGTAGCCCTTAGAGATCATGAGGTATATTTTTATACCATGGATTTGAAAAGAGGGACCACTGCATTGAGGTTTTATTTGATCAGCCACTAGGTGAAAATGAGAAAGTATATTTGGATGTTTCGAAGTCTGACATTCAAACGCAACCTTTATCAGCTTGAAGGAAAAATTGCTACAAGGGAGCAGCCTTTCTTAGCATATGTGGTTAGTTCTGGAAACACGTAAAGGGAGAATGAATACTGGCAGCAATGTAAGAAAACCCTTAATACTGCACACCAAGCAATGGGCTTAAAATCTAGAGAATTAAAATAATGAGTGGATACACCTGGTTTTCTGCTTTTGTGTACCTGTTTCCCTCTCTGACACTGGCCTGCCCATGCTCCATTTCACCCTGAAATTCTGTTGAGTTTCTGTTGAGTGTATTTGTAAAACTCGTTGAAGCAACGTTTTCAGCAGCTCTTTATCCTTTTTAACTGCCCCACTGTTGATATGAGAACACCTCAGTCCCTTTAGTAAGCAATATCAACAAGGAAAGTTTGGAATTAATCCAGTTATTAAGAATATTTTACTTATGTTTAATAGTTTCTGCCTAATAATATAATGCTGTTTATGATTCCATGCTCTTATCCCATTCCCACTCCCTTTCTCCCTCTTAATTAAAAATTAAGTGAACTGCAGAAGCAGTTAAAAATCCCAGGGAGTACGTATGTGCCACCTTGTGGTGAGTGGGACATAAGTAAACAGGGTGTTCTACTGGACTGATCCAAAATTAACAAAAAGGCACACCAGGCAAACTTGTAGTACTCAGCCTTTCCTATACACAGAGAGAATGAGTAATTTCCTTCCTTAACATCAACAGCCTCCTTGTCAGCACCCACATGGATCAGTCCCATTTGTCACTTGCTTTGCATTCTTTTTTAACCATTTTCACACATAGTCCACAGTTGATAGATTTTTCTTCTTGTTATCTCCATTTCAGCATACTGGGCTGTTTTCTGTGTTCTGTAGCTCAGCCTCGTTTTCCTACTTTAGCAAAAGACTCAGTATATGCACTTTTCTGATATGAAAGATGTGTTGCTGAGGGCTTTCAAAGGCTGCCTACCTGCAGCTGATACATGAAGAAGTAGCTGTCGTTAGTTAACTCTTGTAAACTGTGATCACAGCTGTCTCCAGTTTGACTTCTGTCTTGTCAACCCATGCCACCGTTCTGACAAGGAGTGAGGACTGAAGTGACTTATCCCACTTGTGGCTTTTGCAGTGCGTTTGCTGGATTTATATCAGCATGTTCTCTGACCCATTCCACAGTCTGAATTCAGAATGATAGCAATGAAAAAAATTCGTGGTATTCAAAAGGCTTATCTCTTGTGTGTTATAAAGAAAGCAATCAAGGATAAAAGGTAATCTGTGTTTTACTCAGCAAAATAGGATGTAGGTAGAAATGTTTTTGTAAATATTCTAGGTCTTTTATGTTCAATAACAACCTGCACTTTCAGATCCATACTGGTTTTATTTTTTCTTTTTCCTTGCTAACTTATTGTCTCTGACAGTTAGTACCAGAAGAAAAAATACATACCTGAGGTTTCAATTCCAGAAAGCTGGAGCTATTAGTGGTCCAGGCATAAGTATGTATTTCTCTTGGCTCTGAAAAAATAAATCACTTGATGTAAGTGAGTTTTCTTAAGTGCTGCCTCACTTCAGATCTCTGGAAACTTTTGTAGTTAAGAATAAATGAGAAATGGCTTAGATAAGGCACTAGGTCCAATTTTAGTTGGTGAACAATGCAGTTACTCTTTAATTATTGCTGCTAACATTCATATCCTTGTATATTGTAATTATAGAATAGTATCTTTCCACCATGCTTTAGCTGCAGTCTTCCTTAATTACATATTTTATGTCTTGCTATGCAACAAGTCCAGTTCTGTATCTTTTAATGAAGGGATGTGCATGTGTACATCAGGCTTCTCTGCATGTGTTGCAAAGCCTCTGAATGGCCCAACATGCATCTGATAAATCAAGCATAACTAATTTCTCTCTCAAATTGAATTGCTTTAGGTTTAGAGAAGATTTAGCTTGACTGATGCTTGGTGCTCTATCTGTTTAACAAAATGCATGCCCAGATCTTTGGATTACAATCCCAAGCAACTCTTTAATAATATATAGGAATTTTCCACCTAAAATGCTTGTGATTTTCTGTTTCTTTGGTGAGGTGTTCAGGTTTCAGGGCCACAGGAAATGTGGAAATGTGCAAAATGCACATGCTGTAAGCCATCCTTTAATATTTAATGCATGCATTGGTGCTTCCTTCCTGTTGATAAGTTTTTGTTACAATGCACTTGCTGAAAAGGGAAGTGGAAATTAGTTGCAAACACTTTGCTTCTGATTGTAAAGACTGGGCATTAGTCTCCAGTTAAAATAGAACTTTATAAAGATAATTCCCTTTTTCCTTACATAGGAAGTTACTTTTTGTCCTTTCAGATGATAACACAAGGTCCCATGTTTTCTTCATCTCCAGGCTGGGCTGCTGCAAATTTACTGCCCAACTGTAGCATTGGGTCATGAATGTGACTTTTAAAAAACCTCAATTTTGTCAGTTTTGCCCTTAGGGCAACACATCACTGCTAAGAAACATCATCTCTTCCTCGTTGTTTCCTGATCCATTTAGAATTTGCTTTAGAACATCTCCCAGAACTTGCAGAGTTTAAGACAGTACGAAGATAAAAATCTCTGTATCTGACTTTAAATCCAAGATCTTGGGTTTTAATGCCCTGCAGCAATAGCTAAACTATTGGGATTGGAAAGTCCCAGGTAAAAATACCATGGATGTGAAGGTGCTAAATATTCTTGTGGTTCAATCCTTATCCACAGTTTCCACATCTCGGAAATCAGCATCAGATCAAGGCTGACTGTTACTGCATGCAAGAGATACAAGAAAAGTGCTAGAGTTTGAGCAAATCTTTGATCAACGTTGCAGAATCTGAGAAACACAGCAACATGTGTGGAAAATAAACTCATATAATGAGGCAGCAAAAACAAGAGAGACAAGGAATATTGCACCTCAGTTCTTTTCAGGTTGTAAGGCTGAGATTAAGAACTGTAACTAGGAATCGTTTGTCTCCCTGAATATAAAAATGTCTTTTTGGTTTTGCTAACTGGTATGGGTTATTAAAATCATATTGAAAAGACAACAGCAATTTTTTCCAAGCAATTTTCAACACAGATCTCTTCAACATCATTCCTTTTTTTGTTTCCTCCTATTCATCCAGTTCATATTGAGCTGATTTAAATCTACAGGAAAAATTGAATGGGATGTGGTAGATACTTGGGAAAAAAACCCTGCTCAAACTATCAAATAGTTTGACTACTACATAATTAATTCCTTTTCTTTTAATTAGTTACAGCAAATATGTTCTATATAGCTTATTTTAGGGAAAACAAAGGCTAAGAATACCTTAGCTCAATCAATAGTAAACTCAAAGGTAAATCCATCCAGGCTTTTTTCACTTGGACAATGGAGTATCATGATAGTGACTTTTGAAGGAGATAGAATAAAAACAGAATGCAACAACAGCCAGATGAATCCTTCCTTTCTGAAGGGAAATAGTTATGTTAGATCTTCTTGTTATTCATAGCTTAATAACCCTCCGCCTCAGGAGATTATACTTGTGATGACATCAGGACATTCAGGCTATGTTTATCATAACCTAAGATCTTGATGCAGAATTGTAAGAATGCATTTTTGGTGGAAATATAAAAAATAGAGAACTGGTATGAGAAAATACTGAAGAGACCCATTTGGTTAATCTTTTTTATAACCAGGTATAATGTCCAGAGGTCTCCTCTTTCTGAAGTGATCCATACACTTGTAGCCAAATTTTTATTTTACCAAAATACTGAACCATGCAGAGATTTCTTCTGCCTGACTTTAAATATATTCTTTTTGCAAAATTAATAACTCGTAGCATCTTTTTATATATGCAGCTGGTTGGATGAGAACCAGCTTTAAGACCTGGATTTGTGGAATCTGTGTGCCTAGAGTCACCTTCTACAACTGTCTCCAATTAAATAGATGTGATACATCAAATATCTACTGCCTCTTGCATACTGTAGGTGTAAAAATGCTCCTGTGATAGATTTCTAAAAACCTGGGCTCACATATATATACACCATACACTGAAACATTCTTAATGCTGTAAAATAAAATACTCAAAAGGCACAATTTCTAGCTATCCATCCCATGCATTCATCGGGGGGGAAATTGTGAAGAGAACAATAATGATAAAATCTACTCTCTGTCATAGTATATACACACTCAACCAAACCCATGTTTCTCAAACTAAGCTTTTGGCATCTCTATACAATTCAGTGAGTCCAGGATTTCACCCAAGGTTTAATGTAAATTCCTTCTTTATGATTCTATGCTATTTATGAGTGTTGAGATTTAACTTGACATTTTTTCGGTGGCTTTCTCTGTACAAAGGCAATAAAGCAGATTGGTACAATCAATGCAACAAATAGAAAATAACAAAAGGTTGGATTGTGTATGGCAGAAATGCTACTGGATTACTAATGTGTATTTATTTTACTTTGAGAAAACAGCTGGAGTAAGACCTTGCTAACTTTCAGCGAATTATATGAGCTATTGTTGCATGTGTTCTAAAAGCAAAATAACCTATGGGGAAACTGCCCTATTCCCCTGTG